AATGGCAAACAGGTATATGGCGGACAAGACACAAGAATAATCCTAGGGTTAGCGTAGGTCAACGATCGGCGAACAGAATCAAAAGGGCGAGACTAGAGGGATAAAACCAGGAAAACAGGCAAAGATCAGAAACCAAGAAAACAGACAGGGCAAGACTAGGCAAGGACTGGGAAACTAACGAGGGCTCTGTAAAGTAGCGATCACTGCTGGCGATAAGCACATACAATACTCGGCCCTGGGAAGGGATCAGAGTGAGTGTTAAATAGGGGATGTGTGATTGATTACAGCTGTGTGCAATCAGTGCTGTGTGCAATCAACTGTGTGTGTGTCATCAGTGCAGTGGATGATGGGATATGTAGTCCGGGGTGATATGCAACAGTGTGTAGTGCGAGAGTCAATGAAATGGAAAGGGTGACCTCTGATGGCTAGTAGACGGAAGTTCATGGACCGGATACGTGACAGTAATGTAATGTTTCTTTTTTTACTGCAATATAATCTACAGTAACACTCAGTAACAGTTACTGTAAAAGTACAGTAACACTCATTAACTCATGTTATTGGTTCTCCAAGTGGGATTTCAAGGTTTCAACCATCAAAGAAAAATAAATATTAGAAAATGCTAAAATAAAGTCCATTGATTCTGTGGGCCTATTTATAGCATATTTACCTACATGTTTCTGTAATAAACTAATCTTGTTGCAGTTATCTCAATGTCTGACCTACTGAGCACTGTGAAAGTCCTGGCTGGATCTACAGCAGAGATTGCAGCTGCTTCAGTCGGTGATCAGCACCTGGTGGCCGCAGTGAGATTGGCTGAGGAAAACAATTCTATGGAGACCCTCAATGGGCTGGAGGTTGCTGATGTTAAAGCAGAGGTCCCAGCAGAAGTGCCTGAGGGAGCTGTGGTTGAGGAGGCCATGATAGGTAGATTGAATCTGAAAACAGAAGGAAAAGAACTGGAGGAACTGCCATCATCACTTCATGCAGTAGAAGAAACTATTGTTGTGGCAGATGACCATGTCAAGTCTGAGGCAGACAGTCCTGCTGTGCCTGAAGTTAATGTTGAAAGCCTTGCTTCATCAGAGGAGGCCCTTGTTACAGAGATGGAGAACATTTTGGAATTGGAAGACTCAACAAGCCCTGTGGTGATGCTCTCAGAAGATGACACCGTCTCTGGAGCTGCAGAGTTGACATCAGAAACAGTCGAGGATGTAGGTCAGAAAATGGAAGAATGTAAAGCGTTGTGTCATGAGCCAACTGCCACAGAAACAGAACATGCAGATCTCACAGCACCACCAGCAGAGCTGGAGGACTCATTACAGGCTACAGGTGCAACAGAGGCTGCAGAAGAAGTTATTGTCGTGGAAATGATGCAGGATGCTGTGGAGAAAGCTAAACCTGTTGAAGCATCAGATGAAGGTAACATGATTATGGCACCATAAGGAATAGTTCACCCAAAAATAAGAATTTGCTGAAAGTTTACTCGCCCTTAGGCCACCCAAGATGTAGTTGAGTTTGTTTCTTCATCGGAATGGATTTGGAGAAATTTTGCATCGCTTGCTCACCAGTGAATCCTCTGCAGTGAATCGGTGTTGTCAGAATGAGAGTTCAAACAGCTGATAAAAACATCATTAATCCAGTCAATCATTTAACATCTTGTGAAGTGGAAAAATCTGCATGTTTGTAAGGGGGGAAAAGTGAGTACATTTTCAGCAAACGTTTGGGTGAACTATTCCTTTTTTTAAAATTAGACTTTAGTTTTAAACATTAATTTATCATGTTTACTTCTTTTTCCACAGCTGTTGAAAGTGGAAATGTTGCAATGACCATGACACAAGCCTGAAGTGAATGCACCTGAGACACTGAAAACGAGTGAAACTAAATAATCTGATGTAATACATGCTGAAGTTAACATATAGTGGTGCTGTTACAGCCATAAAAAAGACCTCTAAATGACTTTTTTGTTTCCAACTGAATCGCAAATTTGGTGAATGACTATGGTCTCCTTAATTTTGTTATTTCATCTGAAAATGAGTCCGTTGAAACTGTTTTGAGTTTAATTTATCTAATTTTGTGTCTCTGGAAAATAGTGATCTGTGACACTGTATTATGCTTAATATCAAAGGTTTTGTGGGCACATTCATGTTGTTAGATTGCTTTTTATTTTAAAGTGAAAAGATAAAATTAGAATTAGGGCAGAAGGTCCCAACTGGCATGTTGTTGATAGTGCTTATTGGAATTCATTAGGTTATTATTCAGTTATTCCGTTATACACAAAATATTGTAAACATGCATTGCATTAAGGTTTTTTTTTTTTTTAAATGTGTAATCGAAATGGACGGAAATTTTATATGAAATTTAAATTAATCACATCAATCTTAAATTTATTTATTTGTATTTATTTTAGACATCTTCAATATATATATATATATATATAGGCTAATTAAGTGAGCTGATTTTAATTTAATTTGAATTAAATTTAAATTCATAGTGTTGCTATTATGATGTATCTTAAATTAATACATGGCCAATTAGATATGTAAGTTGTAGCATAAATTTACCTTTCATAACCTTTCATAATTATCTTACTGGGATTCTGCTTTATCTGTAGTTGATTCATTATTTAGCTAAACTGTCAAAGCACAATTTTAAATAGTATTTTATAATGACACACACACACAGATTGTTATGCTTGAGTTAATTTATTATGTGATTGTGTGTTCTGAATGAGAACATGATTAAACTATTGAGTATTGCAGAGAACATGGAACAAAACTGAAATTTACATTTACATTTAATCATTTAGCAGACGCTTTTATCCAAAGCGACTTACAAATGAGGACAATAAAAGCAGTCAAAACTAACAAAAGAGCAACAATATATAAGTGCAAATGACAAGTCTCGGTTAGCCTAACGCAGTACACGTAGCAAGGTGTGTGTGTGTATATATATATATATAAATACATTGTTCTGAAAGAAAGGGCCTGATCTTCCTAATGTTGTATAAAGCAAGTCTGCAGGGCCGGGCAGTTTTAGCAATGTGGTCTGAGAAATTCAGCTTATCAATCACAAATCCAAGGATTCTAGCTGTTTTTGAAGGAGTTATGGTTGATGAGCCTAACTTGATAGTGACATTTTGATAAAGTGATGGGTTTGTTGAAACCACAAGCAGTTCTGTTTTAGCCAGGTTGAGTTGAAGGTGATGGTCGGTCATCCAACAAGAAATGTCTGTTAGACATGCTGAGATGCGAGCAGCTATCGTCGGATCATCAGGATGGAATGAGAGGTAGAGTTGAGTGTCATCAGCATAGCAGTGATATGAAAACCCATGTTTCAATTTTAATGTATTATGTGATTGTGTGTTCTGAATGAGAACATGATTAAACTATTGAGTATTGCAGAGAACATGGAACAAAACTGAAATGTGTGTGTAAAAAAAGTTAATTATTTTAAATGCATATTTGTTTCAAGAATTGCACGAACTGTTTTGGAAATTAGGCCAACTGAATTAGTGTGTTAGTTTTTTATAGTGTTAGCACTTGTCTGAAATGAATCTCCGCTATGTGCTCTCACCAGTTCTTGGCAAGGCATAATACATGTGAAGTCATTATTAACAGAAAGAGTGTATTTACATTAAAATCATTCAATATCTGATTTTCAAAATTGTCTCTGTTACTAATTCACAAGCAGTCCGGACACAACAAATAGTCAAAACAATGGCAGAACATTCATTCTAGACAAAGAATTTTAGTACTTGCTGTGTGCTTCTCTGATCTCCTATGCATGGTGTATTACCTGATTCTGTTATCTTTTATTTTTCTGTTATTTTATTAAAGATGAGACCAGTAAAATAGCTAATATGGAAAATAACAGGCCACTTGCCTTGGCAAGTATACTGTCAATTGTATTAAAACAAATCCTTTTGGATAGGCCCTGCCTCCCTGTGAAAATCACTATGAAACCAATCAACACAAACAATATTTTTAATTTTTTTGTTGTTTTGTTTTTGTTTGTTTGTTTTGGATTATTGATGGTATTATTTGTTATTATTGCTTCCTTTTGTAAATCACTCTGAAAAAGGTGATGGTCCAGTTAGTAGTTCACAAAAAACTAGACCACCACCAAACCCTGTCCCATCCTTTATCCCCTGGGGCAGGCACACAGTTTTTTATTTGATCAGTGTGCCACACCTCCTCCCTGGTCCCCCAAACTCCACCAAAGTTTTTATTTATCCATCCACTCTTGAGTCCTGCTCAGCCGCATCCAACGCACCACAGCCAGGGAGGGGACTTGGCATCCCTCTGTGAGCGACCCGCGAGAAACTGACCTGAACCCCACCCGACACCCACATAGCAAAACCTTCACTGATCTTCACTGTGAGCGAGAGACATAAAGCAGCGTCTCGCTCTAGTAAAATGCCTTCACTTTTTTACTTTTCAATTCAAGAGTAAATATCCATATAATTTAGTTCTTTTATTTTAACATTAGTTAATGCATTAACAAAATAAGCTTAATGCAGCCTATAGTTTAACTGACTAAAATCCACTGTAAAATAGTTTTCAGACCTCTTTTTATTTTACACATTTCATGGTAGAATCAGAATTTCATCATTTTTAAAACCTGTTATTAATAAAACTATTTTCTAAATAAAAGAATTTGTGTTTGACATTGTTTTCATAGGAGTTACAGTATGTATCAAACAACGTATGTATTCAATTATGCCAGAAGTCAAACAGCAGAGGGCGCTATGTGTATGGTTTTCCCCCCCGTTTCACAAAAACACAAAAGAAAGGCATTATTTGTGCAATAAAACGAGAACATGAATATTAATATGGTTACAGAATTGTTACCAGTTATGTATGGCATCAGTCCTATGAACGTTTTTTTTTTTTGTTAAAGAATGGCTTAATTTTTATTTTAAATGGATTATATTCGGTATATATTACGGTGCAGTATATATCAAACAAGACCATCTATCCATGTATGTATTTTCTACATGTGAAAATGTGGAATGATTTTGTTTTGAAGTATTATTGCTATGGCAGTCTGTGCCTTTTTAAATTCTCATTTAGCCTTTACTTTAACTTTTACTTTCGTTTTCCCAGTGTCGTCCAAATATCCATTATTACTAGTTTTGATAAAATTTTTAATTTTGTTTTGTTTGACTCAGCACTCAGCACTCACAAACTCATCACTCTCGTTTTAGAATTCTAACAATACAACAAAATTTTTATTTTTATGATTTTTTTTTGTTTTGTGACAATGTCTAGGACTCTCTAGGCCGTTTTCAATTTCAGTTGAAAAAGTACTTTATTGGCATGATTGTATAATCATACAATATACGACATAACAATAACAAATAACAATAGAATAGTATGGTGCTAAGTCGTGAATAAGTAGTGAATTATTCCTTAGTATCATTCAATAGTGAATATATATATATATATATATATATATATTTATTTATTTATATATAGG